TTCCCTCTTTGCTGAACCTGAGGGTGCCCAAACTTGGCTCGCTCCACCTGTGACCAATTTCCTTTCCCCAGGTATAAAATCACCACCGAGAAGCCCCCTGGAGCCATTGCTGGGATCCAGAGGCAGGAGAATGGAAGCATCGAGTGGAGCTACGCGCTGCCCCTCACCTGCCGCCTCTCCACGTGAGTGTCCCTGCTGGGCTTGGGTCCTGCATCCCGGCCCCACAACTGGAGAGGGTGTCCCACCCCGCTCCGTGCAGGAGGTTTTAACGAGGCTGAGGAGCTTTCCATAGGCTCTTGGCCCAGGTCTTTGCTTTACAGCCGGGAAAATGGGGCACAAGGCGGCGCAGCACTTCCACTGATTTGGGAGAGGGGCTGCACTTCTCCCTGGCCCCGTGGGCCACCGCGTTTAAGCCCCAGGGTTATGCCAGTCTGTGCAAACATCTCGTCTTCCCCTCTCGCTGCTGCAGGGGGCTGAAGGACCAGCTGATACCCATTTTGGCCAACATCCTGGAGGCGGATCAGGAGAAGTGCTGGGGGTTCGACCAGTTTTTTGCAGAAACCAATGACATTTTGCACAGGATCGTGGTCGACGTCTTCTCCCTGCAGCAGGCTTCCTTGCATCGCATCTACATCCATTCCTACAACACGTAAGGATGCCGCAGGCTGTGTTAAAAGCCAATTTGGGAGCCTCAGCCCCTCGTTTCAGTAGGTGAACCTGTGGGGAGTGTCCGTTCCCTTGCACTGCAGCTAAAATGGGTTAAAACAAACCAGGTTCAAACCAATCTTTGCTGGGAGTGCAGTAACTGGGAGCTGTGGGCTCCTGGGGTGGCACATGGGGAGCCCTAGGGAGGTCCGAGGGGCTCCACTGACCTTGTAGGATATTTTACTGTGAGAAGAGGGCAGCAGGACGTAAAGTGATGGAGATCTGAGTGCTGACCTCACTGCTTATTCCACATCCTTTTGTTTCCTCTTCATTTCAGTACCACCAAGTTTTTAGATGCGGTCTTCAAACAAACCAGCATAGCCCCTCACCATCAGGAGTATTTTTTTGAAGGCCACCTCTATGAGCTGGATCCTAACCTGCAAGCTCACAATTTCTGCAGAACCACAGAGCACAACCCCCTGACCCTGCTGAGCAGCGCCGAGCAGCCAGAGGACGTGGTGGGAGTCAGATACAGAGACCGTGAGTACCGCTGGCTGCGGGATGCATCACGGGATGCAGGGTGGGTGCAGTAAGAGAGATCTGCTCACAATATCATCCTGTGCACCATAGGAGGTGGAGGGGTTGTGATGCTGGAGCAGGATTAGGAGGTCTTGGGGTTGGTTTTTCTCTGCTGTGTCTGGTCGCTCCATGGTTGCCCTCCACACCGAGCCCTGCAGGTGCTTTGTGCCTTTGTACGCATTTCCAAAATACCTCAGAGCTGCGCTAAGCCCCCAGCATCGCAACTGCTCCTGCACCTGAAATCCTGAGTGGCTGTGGGGTTGGCTTCAGCGGGTGCGAGATGTCCCCATGTGTCTGCAGCCGCGGCTCGGGGGGCTCCGGGTTGGCTCCCCAAACACCATCACTGCTGTCTGTCTTTCCAGCGACCCTCGAATTCCCAAAATTTGCCCCCAAGGTGGACGTGGTGGCCGACTGCAGCGCAGCCAAGGTAGGGGGTGCCCGTGCACCCGGGGGAGCCCCGGCCGCAGCGGCGCAGCCCCCGGC